AAGAAACACACGTCAAGAGAAAAGCTTTGCAAAGACCGGTTCACTTTGATTACATTGCCAGCAGGTCCCTTTTCAGACAAGTTTGGAAAGAATCGATGGGCATATCGTTCGTGCTGGCCTTCACGTACAGAACTGAACCTCGGCAGAAGACCAACTTCTCATGAAGTTGACAGCATGGGGTATGCACCACTGAGAAGCATCAAGTCGCGCAATGGAAGGAGACACGTTCGGAGTTGGGGTGGCGCGAAAGATGAGGGCGTTCCACGTGGTGGATGGCATCGCTTTTGTCCTCGGGAACCAGTGTATCTCCACAACTTTGTTATTAAATCAATCGCATAATTGACAACACAAAGGCATCCAGCTCTCAGCACGCACCAAGGACATTGCACAACTCCTTGAGCTTCCTGAACCAGGAATTTAGAGCTATCAACATGTTCAGCAATTAGGGGCATACCTTCTCCTGCATGTTGTTTCGGAACACTTGTCTGTAGTGCTTCCCCGCATCCCGGTCAGCAGTCTCGACCACGAACTCCGTCGAGTAGATATTCGCCAGCTGGAGAACGGAACCACACGGACAGGCACCGACCGAACCACACACACATACACACACGACAGAGACATGGGAAGGCGGCTCTTTCGGTTCGAACGTGTCCAATAAAACCGCTCGTCCATCCCCACCCGCAGGCCCACCAACAACAGGCGCAACCGGGGGTAGCAAGATCAAACTCCTTCGTCGCTACTACTACCACCAGCACCAGCAGCAGCACCCACCCCTAGCCTCCTCCCACCTCCATCATACCCAGGCGCACCAGGCGTAGCAACATCCAACCTCCGCTACCACCAGCACCAATTAACAACCACCACCAGGACGTAGCAGCATCAAACCACAGCCCCTACCACCAAAACGAAAAGCCGGAACAACAACAACGGCCATCCACCCCCCACCTTAGCTCCGAAGCCGTTCCTCCCGCCCGTGGTCTTCTTCTGGTCATCGTCGAAGTTGGAACCCGTCAACAGGTTGCCGAAGATCAGCTCGGGCACGTAGATGTGGTGCTCCTTGTGCATCTGGATGGGGATGCCCGCCCCGTCGTTCCAGACCGAGATCTTGCCGCTCTCTGCATCTACCGTCACCTGGTCGTCGTCGTAGATGGGTGCACAGTAGGGGGGGGGCGGAAGCCGAGGGGGGGGGGGGGGAGGGGACTCATAATCGTGCATGCCGGAATCCTTAGAACATTGACCTCGCATCCCTACAAAGCCGGGACGGAGCACGCCGGGTTCTCACTGGACCAGGGGGGGGGGGGTACCCAGTACCCAGGAGGGGGCCGGGGGTTGAGAAGGGACGTTTGGTGGGGCGGGGGGATGATGCTGGACATTGGACGACCTCCTTGAAAGCGGATCTTAGACTGGACTGCTCCAATTTGAAGTACAGATCTCTTGTTTTCAGCACTTTCGACTAACGCAACACTCGGGAACCAGCACGGCAGGCGTAAACCAATCTGAAAACCAGAGCATCTATAGGATCGTAACTACAGGAGGCAAACTTTTCTCTTGCATCATGGGCTTTGGTGGTATCTGGTACGGAGGTTAAGTTCGGAGCCAAGAACTCGATACAATGAAGTGGGCCTACCCGTACGCGTTGGAGTACATAACGCGACAGAAAACCTACGTTTCCGAATGATCTAAAAGGCTGTCAAGTAGGGGAGACAAAAAATCATCTGCCACTCACTGGGCAACCCCCCTCGCTATTAGCGGGCGCATGGGTGAGTCGACCCGACGCACCTTGAGCTTGGACATGTTCTCGTCGCGCTGCTTGTTGTCGGCGGCGTTCACAATGATCTCGTCGAAGATCTTGTACAGCCCGGGCACGAACGTGACCGCGCGCTTGACGATGCTGTCCGCCACCTCGTCGTAGACCCACATCTCCTGCGACATCTTCTCCGTAGACCCGACTGGCGGACGCACACAATTTTAACGCGCGTTTTACGTTCACAAGGGAGATCAAAGCCGGGGTCGACTAATATCAGAACCGCAGCGGACGCACACAATTTTAACACGCGTTTTACGTTCACAAGGGAGATCAAAGCCGGGGTCGACGATCAGAACCGCCATGGCACGACTGTTCGACGCACAAGCGTACACGCGTTTACCGTCACAAGGGAAATCAAAGCGCGTATGAACTGCCATGATACTACTGTTCGACGCAAAAGTTTACACGCGTTTACGGTCACAAGGAAAATCAAAGCGGGTCCGCTTTTAAGAACCGCCATGATACGACTAATGGACGCGCACAAAAAGTTGCACGCGTTTACATTCATAGTAGTGTCAACGCAGGTCCGTCAAAACATCCGCAGCCTGTATCGTAGTCGGCACGCGAAGAGGGGTTAAAGGCCGATGAGTATGTAGCCCGACCTCCCGAGCCTATGCCGGGCGGATGCTGAGACAGGTGTAGCAGAGAAACCATGTCCCGAGGCCATAGAGCAACGAAAATAGAACTTACAACTCAGGGTGGATTTACACCACCGCTGGTGTCGAACATGCTCTGTTTTCCAAGACACGCAGTCCTGCAGAGTACAGCATCTACTCTGAAGCCAAGCACACCTACGGCTGCAGACGCTTGTACTTTACCCATATTGTGGCGTTTTGTGCGGATGTAGAAATCATCCGGCGATCGAGTTTTGGATATTGAGAACACAAGCAGCTTCTTCTGAGGCCTTGATTTCTAATGGTAAAGGGCGAGACTTTCCCCGCAAGCGGTTCGCCAACAACAATAAGCGAGAGGAAGACGGAACACTAGTCTGCCAGACCGAAGGACCATCATGACCGTCGTCATTCACAGCTGTTTTGGCGTCAACGTGTCACAAATCTACGGTATAGTATGGTGCTGGTAGTACCGCAGTGTAGATGTCCCGGCTGCCGGGCGACACAGCGGGAGATAAGCGGGGCGGTTGTACCCAAATAAATCGTCTGTCAAGGGTTACACAAAGTCCGTCAAGGACCGCCTCCGCCAGAAAAACAAGGTAATGAGGAAATAGAACAGGAAGGGGGTACGCAGACCGTTTTCCCTAACCCTAACCCTAACCCAACCTCCCCGATTGTGTGCTTAATCTAACATGTTCGTTTACTGAATAGAAAAACCTTGCGAAGTCTACTGTCCGTCAACCGGCATTTTTGCAACCATGCGGCGTTTGGTCTTGTCTTCGTGCCAACCACTCACTGTACGTGTCCGGGCGAAGGAGGATGTGCTCGAGCTGGGTCTTCTTCTGATACCTCTGCTCCACCGTTTGGCCGCCGCCATTGCTGTTGGCGCCGCCGCCTCGGGAAGAGCCTAGGGGGGCCTTCTTGCCGCCCTTGGCCTTGCTCCCCTGAGACGTTTACAAACGAGCAAGTAGATTTATGTGTGTGAGACCACGTTCTACGTGTAAGCATGCACCACACGTGTGGGGTCTTACAGACAAAATCCAGCCAGGTTTCTGTGAGACGACGTAGACCGTGGATGCAGTACACCTTTTCCTAACAAAAGCCAAGAGGTTTGGTTCAGAGAACGAACAAGAAGGGTCAACCAGGTGGTATGTGAGGCAACGTACTACCCTAATGTACGTGTAAGCATGCACCACACCAGTAAGCGGTGTCGTGATGTAGTGTTTGCAGACAAAGCCAACAGGTTTCTGTGAGAAAGCGTACTATTTAGTTGGATGCATGCACCACAGTAATATGTAGTACACGCCGGCAGGACGAATGCTCTCCATCTCCCTGTCACGCGATGTTTCGGGGAAGGCCCTTCGTGTCTCGACGCTACAGTATATCCCCCAATGTTTGGCGAGTACACAGGTGACCGGTTCTCCTCCTGCCGCCCCCACCTTGCTCCAACAGCAGTCATGGTAGGCCCTAACAGTACACTGCAGTACATAAAAAGACTTATCTTCAATAGTATGTCTACATCACATGAGAATAGCTGCGTGCTTGACACTCGCTCTGCTGCTGCTGCTGCCCGGGACCTACTAATATACTACGAACTGCTGTGCAAACCACGTTGGCAAGAGAGACAGCCGACCAACGGCCGGCGACATCCAGTGCGTCACGGGCATACAAATGTCCGTAATATACCAGGGTCGTAGTTCTCTTGGTCTCAAACACCCACAAGCCGCCTGCTGCTGTGACCATCGCTGCCCACCGCACCGGCACCGAAGGTACGCCGCTACAACAATGGTAACCTTGTGTAAGTCCTGCAACGGCACAAAGAGGATAATACTGCTGTGCACACCTGCTAGGAAGAAACTCCGAAAGAGACGGGCATTTTACGCCTCCCCTCGTCATTTCTAGGGCCGGTTACTGTTCAGCAGCGCGGGTAGTGAGCGTGTAGGCACCTTTCGTGCCCGTGGAAGACATGGCTACATAGCTACATGTCAGAGTCGCGAGACCTTGCTGTTCAGCTGGTCTGTGAGCCATCCTCGAAAGAAAGGCCGCCTCTGGTCCGTAAGAGAGCCAGGCAAAGTATCGGGAAACCAAAGCATGAACTGCTACGCTTCCTGGTAACACTGTTAGAACACACGAACGCCCTGACTTTGAGGCAAGCATTGCAGAATCCCTGCCCTAAGCGCCGCTTAATGCAGGGATGGGTGGGTTCTGCTGCTGCTGTCATGTTGTGTTTCTAACCTTGGAAATACCCAACGGCCGGTTTTCAGTGTCCGCCATGCTGCCCGAATATTCCTGGAGAACCTCAACTCGCTGGCGAAAAAAGGCGGATGAACGTGGTGGAAGGTCTTGCTAGGTATTTTCTCCGGCCCCTGAGTACGCGCGTGTCAACGGAATCCGCCGTGGTGTGCGAGAGTTTTGAGCGTTGCGCGAGAGTCGGTCGCCCTCTCTGAGGTTCCAAATCTATTTTGCGGGGCTCCGTGGGGTGCTCCGTATTGTGCCATCTGCGGGGCCACCTCTCGAGCCGACCGAGCAGCAGTGCGCAACTGCTTCACTTGGCTACCTGTGCCGTTGGTGTTTGTGCGGCTGCACCGACATTGCTGTCTCTCTTCCTACGCCCAGCTTGTGTGTGGTGTGGCTGTTTCACTTTATCATGAGGTGGGCGGTGGCATTTCTCCCGCTGTGCCTGGTGACGGCGTCTGGGTTCATGATGCAAACATGTCCGGGCAGGAGCTGTAGGATGGCAGACCAGTCTCAGCATGACGGTGAGAGAGAGGGAGAGAGAAGGGGTGTGTGTGGATAGGGGGTATTGTCATTGCCGATGTTGCTGTATGGCTAGGTTGTGCTACGCTGGTACCTGTGCTATCCAATCACCTCTCTACAGCAGCAGGTTGTCGTGACGTTTGGAGACTATCGTACCGCTTCATGATCATGCAACGTCAAGTTGACCGCACAATTGGATGAACGGCAGGTTACATAGCAAAGTGAGATATTTTTCTCACTAAATAAATCCTGGTCTAAGTTGGAAGCGACGCGCTGCAAACCTCGTTGTTAGTAAACTAGATCGACTTCATAAGTCGCGAGGGAAGGGATTGCTGTACCCTTTTCGCGATAAAAATATCTCAGGCAGGAACCGCAAGAGGGGGTTCAACCCACTGGTTGTGTAGCTAAGTGGAGGATGGGGGCCAGAGGGGCAGACGACAGAGTCCAATGATGGGAGAAAATAAATAAATAAAATAGTAAAGAAGGGGCCACGGCCCTGGAGTACGATGCGAGTGCCAACCCGCTGTCGTCGCTGAAGCTCTGCTTTCTATGGCAGCCGCGACCTTCGATCTCTACATGTACCTTGGCGCCATGGAGGCATCGACGACAGCGGGTTGGCACTCGCTTCGTACTCCAGGGCCGTGGCCCAGTACTGTACTCTGTAACCTGCCGTTCATCCAATTGTGTGTACCATGCGGGTGTCTTGTGTCTCAATTGTGTTCCCAGGTGTGAACGGGCCAGTACACGCAGCAGCCATCCCATATCGAGATGGTCGACGACTGTATCGACCCTAGTCGTGCAGCACACGTAGGCCGTTCTCGCAGACCTACTCGACCTTTATCACCTTATGCCCCCCCCCCCGCCCTGGTCCGGTGAGCACCCGGCGTGCTCCGTCCCGGCTTTGTAGGGATGCGAGGTCAATGGTCGTACGACTACGGCATGCACGACTAGGCGGGGGGGGGGATGTTTCACCCTAATATATTAATCCAGAGAGTTGCCGTATTGCTGCAGCTGTCTCCTGTTTTTGCTGGGGTGATCGAGATACGCATACCAGCTGTAGCAAAATAGCGCGGCCGCTCGGATAGATGAGGCTAGACGGGACATGTCTCTGCATAAACACCTACGACCTAAAGCAAACTATAAACATGCATACGCGGTCTGTGCCCTGGGTTCATTAGGTCGTGTGTCAGGAATGTTTTGGCGTTGAGGCTACGAAGTTCCTCCGCTCCGCTGCCTGCTGCTGCTCTGCCTCTGCGTGATGCTGCTGCCGCTTCCTTGTCATGTTGCAACCATGACCATGTGTGTGCATGCCAGCTTGATGCATCGAGTAGATGGCAAGCTCGATTTTAGAGTTCTGTGGGGGCACCTCCGAGTTGAGACACACCGCTGCTGCGGCTGCATGAGTCTGTGTGCCTAAATCTGATGTTGTTGCCGTTGCTATACCGCTGCATCCTCTACCTATGTATCTGCTTCAGTGCGCCAAACGGCCGTCCCTCGTACATTTTTTTTTTTAATTGAAACTCGCCGTGCACATTGGACAGCCTCGTCCCAAAGGCACGAACCCCACACATCGGTGCTGCCCCGACCGGACAGCGTCAGACCCCCATACCCCCGGCACTGCCGTACGCTCTCCGGTTGGTCTCTGGTTCTGCGCTGGGAAGGATTCCGAAATATGCCGTTGTACTCTTGTGTGCATGTACGTGCGCTTGTTGTTGTTTTCCTGCTTTTCGAAGGTCTATTCGAGCTGTTGGCCTCCAACTGCCCATGGAAGATCCGCAATCGAGTCAGTCACATACGCGTTAAATAACGATCCGCAACCTACAGTAGGGATAACGATCCGCAACCTACAGTAGTTCCTACTGTTGCAACCATTTTCACCACCAACAGTAGTACGCGTTAGGTTCTGGCGGCAGACTGCTATGCTATGGAGTATGAGTTTGATCAGTTTCAGGTACTCAAGCGTGGTTGTATCAGGGTTTCCCAGGGTGTCCTTCTGCCGTCATGTGAGGCATGATATGTAGCGACCTCGACGCCTAGTCGGACTTCGAGAGAGAAGGGGGGGGGGGGAGAGACAGACAGAGAGACAGGAAGACCGAGAAACAGAGAAACAGAGACAGAGAAAGAGACAGAGAAAGAGAGAGAGAGAGAGAGAGAGAGAGAGACAGAGAGAGACAGAGAGAGAGAGATGTTGGTATTCCTACCGTAGGGCGCCTCATGCCCAGCCGCCTGCGTAGAATATGCATCACGATTGAGTTTTTGTCTCACAATCCAGCAGGGCGCTGTCGGTTCTTCAATCGTGTTCACGTTATCAATGCTGTCATCCACTCGTTCTCACGCCGCTCGGCTGGGAAGGCGAGCATTTTTCTCAAGCCGCCGAAAGCGACAAGTTTCCCCGTAATTTCCTGAACATGGAAGCAGTTCGTGATAACACCGCTTGACCTCCAACCAAGTTTCAATCCTAAGATTCCCACGTCGTGTTGCTCGTCGTGACGATTTGATCCACCGCCGCATGCATCCTGACCAGGTGTTGAACGCGCCCAACCAGCACCGTCATCCTCCCCGCTCTCGCGGCAAGCTTTCCTCGGGGGCGCCGCGGCTGCGATTCCGCTCGTCGTGGGGGTTGGCCGAGCCGTGGCGGACAACGAGATCATCGAGAAGATGGTCGCCGACAAGATCGCCGCGGGGTGGCAGGAACCCGAGGTTACCCAGAGGGCCTTCATGGACATTACCATCGGGGACAGCCCGTCCGGGAGGCTGGTGATTAACGTGAGAGCGAGCCTGATAAGGCTAACCTCAAAAGTCTTACAGCAACCTATTTATTTTTTGTACAAGGGGTCAGGAGGCGAGGGGCTACGCCCCCCCCCAGTCCTTCGTTTGCTCCGCCGCTCTCCGTGTAAGGGTGGACACATTTTTTTTTGCTCCGTCCATCGTGCCGTCTCTTGATTCGCTTGGCGCCGGCGAAATCCCACATCAAGATATTTATCTGCCTGCGTGAAGAACGCTCGCTGTGGTTCCAGCTTACGCTAGCACGCCTTTTTCGTGCATGTGGAATCATCTGTTCTTGAGTCACTATTTAGGTGTCTGTACGTTTCGTACGCGCGGCAGATTCCAAGGGTGCAGAGTCTTGATGTCCCTCTTTGGGTGGGGATCTGGAACACGGGATTTTCGCTTTTTGAAATCTGAGAAGGTGCCGAGAGCACGGCCACTTGCTCGGGTGCATGAAACGTGCCCCAAGATATTCACCGAAACAAAAATGCCGGACAGCGTTTGCACAGATATGCCATACGCGTTTCGCTCGGGCCCTGCATATAATCCCCCCGAAAATTGTACGTGGTTTTTTAGAGTCGCCTAGTGCGAACGACGAACAGCATCGTCTACCCTTCACCCTCGCTTCTCGCGACATGTTCGCCTCTTTGTCCTCACCCCAGCTCTACGGAAAGGTCGTGCCCGACACGGTGAAGAACTTCGTTGCCCTCATCACCGGGAAAAACGCCGCCGGGGTTTCGTACCAGGGGACGGAGGCGTACCGCGTGCTCGACGGCCTAAACATTCAGGTTTGACGGGGGGGTGGCGTACCCTTGATGAGCGCATGCCTTTGTCGATAGGCCATTGACCTCGAATTTGCCGGGACGGAGCGATATGCCCGGTTTCGCCGGCCCGGATTTCGTTTCACAAGGATACAAGGATGGACCACAAACCGGTCATCCTCCTTGCGTTTGCTGTGCCAATCCAGATACGCCATGGGTTGATTGGGGGCATCCCGGCTAATGAATCGTTTCACAGCAGTAGTGGGCAGGCACGACTATGTATCAAGCACAAGGTTTGGGGAGGGGGGGGGGGGGGGTCTAGGGGACCACGCAGAACGTACTTGGCTTGACGTGTGGGGGTTTTGTTTGCGTGTGGCTCTAGCCCTCGGTGCTGATAAGATGGGGCGCTGACTAACAATCTGTTGCAGTGGTTTGGCTCGACGTTTTTTGTGACTCTGAGGGCAGTTGGAGGTGCCCCAGTTTCCCTAGGCACCACGGATGCGCTGGAGTCAATAGACTAACCGTTCGAGACAATACCATTGCAGTGAATGGAGCTTGTGGGAATTGTCTTTTTACATTAACCTTTAAGTCAGCACTACTCAAGTTCGAGAGGGGGCAAAGGAGATATCGTCGTCGGCAAACCAACAAGCGGACCTCACCAAGGCACTTCGTGGGAGGTTTTGAGTTTCATCTTAACTTTGTAGGGAGGACTCTTAGATAATGGTTTATTTATGTGTGATCAAACAACTGGCGAGGAATGTTACATATTCGCCCATGGGTTTTTCGATGAAGGTGTGCTAGGCTGGGGAGCAGTTACATCGCTAAGGTTTCGAACAACTGGGGGGGTGGGAATTGATTTCTAGCCACAGAGGCTATTTTGGCAGTTTTGAAAGTTGAGTTTCTGAGTTCATTTTCTTGTGTTTTCGAGTTCGTGAGAGGTCATGATGATATGGCAGGGCACAAGCAGCGGGGTTGATTGAAATACTTGTAGCAATGCCAAGTGGATGGTACGGAACGTTCCCGTGGAACGAGGTAGAGCGGAACACCGGGTGATTGTGTGGTACGTGAAATGGAATTCCAGAGTGTGCTGGGTACCCTGTTGTGCTTGGCGTCGCCTCCTCATTGGGTAATGTGTGTGAGAGATGAGACGAGATTAATCACAGCATGTTTTTTTCTCGGCGCGAGCCCGCCCAGTTTCGGGCACCCTATTCAACACACGTCTATGTGACAAGCTACCCCCAGTTCGGGTCATCCTATCGCGCTAAATAGCGTAATATCATACAGGACCCCGAGGTTAGGCTAGCAATGAACGGGTTCGGCCAAGAGGCTCGGCGATGGAGCAGCTGGATGCGCTCTCAGAAGAGCAGCGTCAGGCAGTCGATGCGCATATCAAAGCAGAGGTGGAAAAGCAGATAGGGAAAGGAATAAAAAGGATATGACGAAGAAGCAGCAAAGCGCCCCGCGTCACAGCTTCGAGTGACGCGGGACACCCTGCTGCTTCTTCGTCATAGCTGTTTATTCCTTCCCCCTCACTTTTCCACCTCTGCTTTGATATGCGCATCGACTGCCTGACGCTGCTCTTCTGAGAGCGCATCCAGCTGCTCCATCGCCGAGCCTCTTGGCCAAACCCGTTCATTGCTAGCCTAACCTCGGGATCCCGAATGATATCACGCTATTTAGCGCGTTTGGATGTGATCCGAACTGGGGGTAGCTTTTCACTGTCACATAAAGCGTGTGTTGAATAAGGTGCGGGCAACTCGGCGGACTCGCGCTGTGAAAAAAAACTTTGTTGTGATTATTCTCGTCTCAACTCTCACACACATGACCCAATGAGGGGGCGACGCCAAATACAACAGGGGTACCTAGCACACCCTGGATATCCATTCCACGTACCACACAAATTACCCGGTGTTCCGCTCTACCTCATCGCATGGTGGGAAAATTCGTTTCCATCCACTTGGCATTGCTTTGGCATTTCTACAAGTAAATGGTACCAATCATCGTCAACGAAGGACCGCCCGCCTGAAAGAGGACATGAGGACCGAGGGTGTGTGTGTTGTTACGGTGTAGTGACGACGCGAAAGGCCCGAACCAATTAGAGTTGTGCCGACTCTAGGGGGCGATGTAGGGTGTCACGTACCGCAGGTTGCATAAGATATCACATCCCTTGGGCCAATTTTCGAAGCTCGATCTCTCGGCAGGAAGAGCAGTGGCGGAACCGACAATGGCGGCGTTGGAACCGTCTCGACGACATCTTTCCGACAACGTATACTTCAACTTCGGCATCCTATTGATCGTGGAGTATTCGAGCTTTGAACATCGGTCCAGGGGGTGTGATATCTTATGCAACCTTTGGTACTTCCTTGTCCACTCTGGTCCATGCTGCGTGCAGTCGCTGCAGGCTTGAAAGGAGGAAGTTAGAGGTTCATATAAAGGTATTTAGTGACGACACGGCAGTATGTGATGTTGTGCAAGGGTGGGACGAAGTTACACAAACATCCACACAGCCGTCGTAGTGTAGGAGCTGCTGCAGGTCGTAGGAGCTGCTACAGGCAGCGTGTAGTGCCGGCACTCCGGTCAATCCACGAGTCGACGACCGATCTGATACACATCTCGCCGACCGTCGGAATTTACGCTTTTTGTGCCAACTTCTCTGCCCGCCGATTGTGCTCAGATGGGGGCGATCGGCAGCAGAAGCGGCAAGTCCGGCGTGTCGTCGACGGGAGAAAACATCCCGCAGGAAAACTTCGACATCAAGGTAAGAAGAACGCTCACCCTTAAGTCGGCGATTGCACAAAGTCGGCGGGGCCGAATTACCCGTGGCTTTTCGTGCGTGAACAACGGCGGAACGCTGCTTGACTTTCCCTGCGGCGTGAGCTTTGGTGTGCCTCAAGAATGACCTGCCCCTGGTCTTGCACACGAGTTGTGTGGTTCCAGCTTGGCACCCGCCGTGCCCCCAGCGTTGGTGTTACTCAGGCGAAGATCCCGTTCCGCCTTGTCCCAATACAGAGCCAATGGTGACAGCAGTTGGTATGCTCTCGTGTTTTTTTCCCCTCTGCCTACTAATGTCTCGCGTTTCGACGCCATCTGCTCCCTGTGTGCGCGTTCTCCCTTGCGCCGTGGCGGCCTTGAGCAGCACATGAAGGAAGGGCTGCTGAGCATGGTCAGGAACGCGGACGCGCAGGGGGACAGCCGGTGAGCAAACGACCCTTTTGAACCCTGCGTTGCCAAACACGGGTCCTTTAGCTTTGTTGTTGTTGTTGTTGTTGTTGTTGTTGTCGTTGTTGTTGTCTTCACATTGAAAACCGTTCCATTCTCTCTACCCAGAACCTTCTTCTGTCCGTACTAGTCCAACACTTGACGCGGTCGATTCCCGTGGTCACAGGCTAACTTACCCAAAAAAAGGTATACGAAAATAAAGTGGACCCGAAGGGTTCCGCAAGTCAATAGAAATCAACGACAGACAGTCTAGGACATTCATTGCTTCCCCGTAAAGGCAGTCACTGCCCTGAGGGTCTCGCTCGCTCAACTGCAGCTGACTGAGTTGCAAGGTCATTCTCAACCCATGTATTCTTCTGCCAACATGGCTCGGTTTCACGTACCACCGGCATCAGGCTCCTTCTGACCTCTTGGACCAGCATCGGGAAGTGGCAGAATCAGGGGGAAAAAGTACAAGGCGGGGAGAGAGATATTGCGGATAAAGAGTGCTGACGTTAGCTCTCGCACGCAAGTCGTGTCGTTTTTTGCTCGACTTCCAACTGCTTGCGAACGCTTGCGCGCGTGTGTGTCTTTCCCCGCACCCCACCAGATTCTTCATCTCCATCAAGGATGACGCGGGGTGGGCGGATGACCGCTACGTGGCTTTCGGGCGAATTGCCGAGGGGATGGACGTGGTGCACCTGATAGAGCGCGTCAAGGTGGAAGGGGGCACAAACAAGCCCAAGAAGCCGGTGGTAATAGAAAAGTGCGGTATGCTTTAGAAGGCTGTACGAATAAGTAGGTTGTTCTGAGACGAACTTCGAGGTTCGTATCGGGCAGTGTTTGTACAGAGGATTCCGGCATTGCTGCTGCAGGTGCTGGTCGCTAGCCATGGGTGCTGAATAATTCTGCCGTGCAGTTGTAATTACAGGCGACTCGGTGAGACCCCGAGAAACCAGTGGTCGACGGCAGTGCAGCTGGCTCTAGGCCGGACCACGATCATGGTGCAGTCGATTGCCACGAGGTTGCTGTAAGCGCTCTTCGTTGCGGTTCAGGGCTAGATCCGACCTTGTTCGTGCACCGTAGACCCTAGAGCCCCCCCCCGCACGCTATGGCAGGCGGCGCAAATAGGTCCAACACTGTTTCTGAGTCGATTGGTTGGTGTTGAAGAGAAAATAGTTCACGTTGATGGCGCTTCCGCGTAGGGGCTAAGAAACCGAAAGCAGGCTTGCGTGAGGAGTCGGCAATTTTGGGCTCACGAAGTTGGTGGGGTCGCCCCTGCAGTGGCCCGTTCCCTCTTTCCTTGGTTGCGTTTTATGTGGGAGGCGCTCTTGGTGGCCAGTCGCGGTCTAGGTTCGTGACAAGCTGCCATACATACGGCGGGAGCAAGACGTTGGTACATCTTAGTGACCCTGCGACCCATGCCGCAGCGCTCAAGTTCAGCGATTCTCCTCCCGCCGAGAACGCCTTGTTGGTTGTTTCTGCGCGCGTGGTCTCCGCACGTGGCGAAAGTTATTACAGGAGTATGTTGCATAAGATATCACACCCCATGGACCGATTTTCAAAGCTCGATTACTCCACGACGAAGAGGATGCCGAAACGGAAGTATACGGTTTTGGAAAACTCTCGACCAGACGGTCCCAACGCCTCCGCCATTTTCGGCACCGTCACTGCTTTTCCTGCCGAGATATCGAGCTTCGAAAATTGGTCCAGGGGGTGTGATATCTTCTGCAACCTACGGTCGTCTGCCACGCACCCGGTCCCACGGGAAGACGAGGACACTAAGCTGCCGAGGTTAAGGTTGTGGGCATGCTGAGAAGGATCCCTGTGTGTTGTTATAGACTAGATGGCAAGTTCCTTGTTGAATTTGTTGTTTACTGTTCATTCCCCGATATATGGTCGACGCCTTTAATATTTAAGCCACGCGACGCACGCTGGTTCGTGCGGGAAATTAAAGGCCGTCGTGAGTTTTGCGTGGAGTGTCCATCGATCTAACCTAGGCTGCGCGCAGAAAGCTACAGCTTGGGCGATGGATAACATGTCGAAATACCTTGTCGGTGTGGACCTGTACAATCCCTCTAATAGGGCACGTGTAGGCTTAGCGAAAGGAGCATCGTGTGTGGCACCTACTGGACCCGCCGCCGCGAGATCGGGCCCACAACTTAGTTAAGCTGAGGCAGGCGCCCATGTCACCGAGATTATTTCCTTGCTCTGGACAACGTCGAACCAACCCATCTCCTAATCAGCAGAGTGGCCTTTTTCTTCCGGCGGCACACGCAAGCTCTGAAAAGGCCACGCACATAGAGGAGCGCTACCTCGAACTAGGCAACTACGCGAAACATGCTGTTGGAGTTTCTGCTCCCCTCTCGTCGAGAAGAATAGATTCAACTGGGGAAACGGCCGTGGCCCACGGCGATCTACTGACGCTCGTCTCTCGGAATACTCCAAGGCTGAGACACCCGTTGACGACAAGTTGGAGATTATATTTTTCTTCTGTAGAGGCTATTTTTCTCTGAATACAGCTCCCCACTTTCTGGCGAGGTACTGCCCGAAGGATGCATCGTCCTCATCTACGGCTGTTGCCGCTGCAGCGTCGCCACCCCGCTGCTTATTGCGGAGGTCCAGCAAGGTGTTGTACGACCCGATCGTCTCCCGCGGCTCGCGCGTGACTGGCTCCTCCGTGGCTGCCGTTGTCGCTGTAACCGCCGTCGCTGCCGGGTTTGTTGAGGTTGCTCCTGCGCTGGAACTCGCGTCGTCGCGCGGAGCGGTGACGGGTAGCTTGGCGTCGAAGCTGGGATACTGTAGTAGAAAAACACGACCGATGTCCGCTCGACGCCGGTCGTCACCACCTGGTGCACCGGAGACCTGGCTCGCACGCGCCCCCGGTGTCGATATAAAGAGGGGGAAACGCGTGCAGTGATGTGTCATTTCGAGCTTATTAGAGCGAGAGGCCGCACAAGTTCCACCGGCACCGAACCCAAACGAATGAACCACGGTGGTGCTCCTCATGATACCGGCACAGCACAGCAAAAAAACACTAAATAGTACATGTTTGACTTCGCGCACAAATGTATTGACATCGGTGTGGTGGAAAAAGCGAGCGTACCAATAACCAACAGACCGGCGCGGCTTTGTTAAAACGGCTCCGACGCCCTGGGTGCTGGTTCCGGTTCCAGTTTCAGGATAAGCTCTCTGGCACAGGGACTATTCTGAAAAAAACTACAGGTGGATCGAATTTTTTTGCCGGCAAAAAGCTAATGTACCACCTAAAATCACCAGACTCACTTCAAGCGGCCGTTGCTCAGAAGCGAAAGGTAGTCGCCACAGTTGAACACCAGCGCGTCTTCCTGGGCGCAAGGGACGTCCACCCACCTGTAACAAAACAAAAACAGCGGCATACGAGGCGTCAAAAAGAAAGGCACCCCTATGGGTAGGTCGGGGGCACCACTTGTTTTCTAAGCTATTAGTATCCGCTTGCATTCGTCGCCTTTGGCAGTGCATTCATCAGACAAAGCAGTCGAAAATCGCAAGCATACCGCTCCGTTGTCATTTGACAAAACCAACGCCCGGCTAGTGCCGATAGGCTTGGGGAAGGTCTTTCACCCCGGCGGTTCACAGGGTATTTTGATAGAGCTCGGTGTCACGAATGCTTCGAACAACGGCCAGTCGTCAAGAAGGCGGCCCCGCAGAGACCCAACGTGTTGGACAAAAATCATGGATCGAGCCCAACAGTGGTAACGACAAATAGAAGCGACACTGCTGTGCTGTGCGTCAAAGTGGTTCTGCCCATCACAAAAACTGCCCGTCACTCCGCTCCCGCGCGGTCGTACAACTACAACGGTATGATAGCAATAATAACACTACAGGAATAGGTCCTTGGTGTGCTACAGCCCACTTGGGTGCTGTCGATAATGTTCCCTGGTTGTGCCACAAGCCCAGTCCGAGGAGAAATACGTCGACCTCCGCGCCAGTCGCAACACGGGGTGCGAGGTTCCGCCGGAAGAAAGTACGGGAAGAGGCGCAGAGATGGCACCCCCTCCGGACCGATTTTTCAAGGCCAACAACGGATAAAGGAGGGCGGATTTCGTAAAATCTCGTACATAAAAGGCTTTTGGTGTCTGGCTCAATCCGCACCCACTTGCATGTCTAGGAAGCGAGCTTTGAAAGTCGGTCTAGCGGTGGGGGGGGGTGCCATCTCTTCGGGTAAGCAAACGCGGAGAAAGCCTTCGCGTTGGAACTTGCGGACTGCCTCCTTAGCCAACAAATTATCCCCACCTTTGAGTCGCTTGCTCCAGGAACTGAAGGCCTCCAGCCCCGTCTTGGAGAATGCTTGTCGACAGACCCCTGCGAGCGCATACAGTCGTGGTCCCGGTATAGCGGTTCCTTGTTTAGCGGGATGCCCTCAATAGGGATTCCAATATCTCGTGGCACGGAAGCACCTCGGCAGTCTAGCTGCTATAATACTGCCAATCCGGTTTAGCGGAGATGTCCTCAGTAGCGGTTATAATTTTTTTTTTAACACTATGGACCGCTGAGCCGGGACCACGACTGAATGGGAAACACGTGAGAACAACCGGGGCATGTTTTTCATGCCGTAGCCATCGAAAAACATGGGGGGGGGGGACGCGAAATCGAATGGAGTGCCAGCAACACGTAGACCGAAATGATGATTCTGCGGGGGGGACGAGACACGCTCTTTTGTGAAGTGAGATATATCGTAGCCGTGTGGTTTCTTTAATGACAGCTGCAAGGGCTAGCCCGGCGCCCAGAAGGTCAGTACGGCGGCAAGGCGCAAGACAACAATTAAGCCATTGCCTGTTTCCCAGCACCCTTTTGCAGCACTGCATGGTAAGAAGATTCACTATGAGATTGGCACCGAAATCAGCGGGGCTATAGTCTGCGACCCAAAGCCATCCCATGACCCCAAGCACCTAAAGAAGTACTACGGGCGAACATCGCAGGTGTAACATAACAAACGCGGGGTGCAAAAAAGAAAGAAAAAGAAACGCCAGTGCAAAAGCGTTTGACATGCCATACCAGTCGGTGTGCGGGCTGGACCCAATGTTTCCCGCACCACTTCCTTCTTGGCTGCCGCTGCTGCCGCCGCTGTTGCCAGTGTCGTCGTTGCCACAGTTTTCTTCGCCGGTGCCGGAGCCCGTGCTGGCGACGGCCTTGGCGCTGCCGTCGTCATCGTCCTTGCGATTGCCACTTCCGGTACCGCTGCCGCCGCCGCTGCCGCCGCCGCTGCTGTTGCTGTTGCTGGCAGCGTCGTTGCTGTAGGGAAAGTAGTGGAAGAGCCTCAAGAGGCTGATCGTGTCCCCCCCCTGGCAAAGGGCCGGGAGGTCCTGCAGGCCGAGGTCTAGGGAGAGCGAGAGACCCCGCGCAACGGCCTCGTTCACCGACACCATCAACCTATAGGGCCGTTCACAAGCAAATGTGACCGTTGAAAATCGGTACAGACGGTTTTCGAATAGCATGGAGGGCCGTTGACACGCACTGCGAACGTTGAAAGGGAGGGAGCATTAACCGTTGAAAACGACATATTTTGGACATCTTCAATCTCCGTGGTGGGGTACCCACTGCGTTTGTTCCAAAAAACACTTTTCCGTGAGCGACTGACTGCTGTGTGCTGTTCAAGACATGGCAAAAAGAAAAAACGAGCATTGCGGTAGCTCAAGTACTTGCTGAATTTCAGTGTCGAGCTGTTTTCATGTCCTTAACTCACACCTGAACAGCGCCGACATGCTATCTCGCCAGTCTTCCCCCAGGGAGTCACTGTCGGGCCATATGTTTGGACCCTGGAGCGCGTTGTTTGGGGGCTGGTCTTTGGGCCAAGGATACCTGCGGGGGAAAACGGAGAACATATCAGATCTTAAAGGGGGGGGAAAAAGAAGAAACACCACTGTCGGTTGTTATTGTTGTTATTGTTGGTGGTGGTGTTGTTGTCTTCGCAGTAAATACCGTTCTAATCTCCGCTCAGCACCTTCTACTGCAGTATCCGTACCGGTCCAACTGACGCGGGCGCCTCCTTGCGGAAATGTATCTTGCCATCCTGACCTGACCATGGGCTATGGCGAAACAGTGAAGCAGACAGGGGAACGTCTGCGAGCAATCGCGCTATTTAGAAGGCCGGCCTTCCAAGAGGAGGGTGGTAGGGCTGTAGCACCGGCCCCAACGTAGGCGTCGAAAAACATTCTCGGAACGCCGTGCTTCGACACAAGTGCAGCATTCGTGCATGCGTGTGCCCCTCTTTGGACCCTGACGAGTCCATCGTCGGGCCCATGGACAATTTGTGACAGGGCGCACCGTCGCCGCGGGACGCCGGCACGCGCGAAAAAAAAAAGTTTCAGAAACGCGATCGGTTGCTGGAGGACAGCAGCAACGAAGAGCAGGAAGCATGAAGCAAGTAAAACATTATTAACGGGCGGAGATTGTAGCCCCGCTGTTGGTACCAACAGAACCTATCGCAACATATATTCATCAGTATTTTCGAGCCAATTCTTCTCCTCAGATAGTATGGGATGCGAACAGTGGCATCACCTCCCGCAGAGAGAGGTTGGTGTTGCCACCTCGTTGCGAAAGGAAATAAATAAATATGGCGAGGAGAAATGTTTTCTGGAACAAACATCGTATTTATTTATTTCCATCCGCGACGATTGTATTTTTCGGAGAAGAATTGACCGAAAATAGAATCGAAAAGAAATTGGAGAAAGATTCAATCATCGTTGGGCGGGTGGGTGGTGTCTCAAAGGGGAATCTCTTTTCCTCTGTTTACCTGTCTTGCACAGGTATGTTTGATAAAAGGAAGTGAGAGGGTGTTCTTCCTCCTCCTGTGTTCTGGTTCTTGATGTCTGGAAAAATTTGAAATCGTGCCTCTTTCTTCATTTCTGGTTTTGAGAATCCATCAGTATTTTCGAGTAAGTTCTTCTCCTCAGGTAGTATGGGATGCGAACAGTGGCATCACCTCCCACGGACGGTGTGTCCATTTCTCCCTCACTTAGGAAACGCACTCGATCGAGATGAGTTTTGTCATCCCATACTTCACTAACTAACAGATGAATGCGTATTGAGATGATGGCTGAAAAAAGGTAATTTAAATTAACAAATGAGACCATCTATAGCAGAGGCTTATTGCTAAACGCTGCAAACGACCGGCTCTGCTCACTCAAACCGAACTCATTCAGCTGCCTGTATTGGTCCTCTGAAACTCCTTCGACCATAGCGGTACCCTCCGATCCTGGAGCTACCACTTCCATGAGCCTCATGTATCGCCAAGCCGTCTTCGGGTCTTTCCAATACGCCTTCTGCATGATAGTCGACAGAGAGTCCCCCGCGAGGGAGCTGGAAACCGCCCCTCCCGACCTAAAGGAGTGTAAAGAGAACCGTTGGGTCTCCCCTACCTCCGTAGTGTATCGTATCGTCTCAGCGCTTCAGACATCTTGCTAGTAGTCACCGGCAAACTGCCTCTCTGCGCTCGACCTTGCCGAGACTCCGAAATGTCCGGGAAAAGGTACCCTGATGTTGAGTCCCATCCGACCTGTTTTCCCACTGCGACCAACCGCTCTACCGCTCGAACTGGGCAGATTGCCACGTATTCCTCGTCATACGATACGGCTATGATATGATCTGCTCCATCTCGCTGGGTTTTCCCCCATTGAAAGTTGCACATGAGACCGCTCCGATTTGGGAGCCGCAAAATGCGCTGGATGAGGATATTTGTAAGCTCCACCCCTCGCTTGGCCGTGCTAAAAGCTAACAAAAATAACGCAATGTCCCCAGCTAACGTGACCCGTTCGACGTCAGACGAGGCGTACTGAAGCCTGATCTGCATTGGAAGAATGATCTTCTCTAGATGGCTTCGAAGAATCACCGGTGCTTGCTGCACCAATACTCCCGCCTGCTGTTGCTCACTCGTGGTGAACTCCATATATTGCGCAACTAGTTTGCTCTTCACCGGGTTACCGACCCGCATGGTCTTACCCACGGCGTCATCAACCTCATTTCCTTCTCGAACACCATGGATAACTTGGAGACATGATTTGTTCGGGGTGAGTCACAGGCATATCTAAGGTTCACAGTCTCCTTTGTCCGTTGAACAGGCCGTGAGGTGTTTTGTGCCCACTGCTTCGCAGTGTCGAGCATGCACAACGTACGCCTTCTAGTACCGCACGAGTCTAACCAGCATAGAAACTCTACCACATCTTTCGGTTGTGCATTTTCAATACAAACAGACCCGTTCCTTCGAGACGCCAGGAAATTGCTGAACAAAGCCCATGTGGCCGACCGGCTGCGCGCAGAGGCCTTTTCCGATCATGCCGTTTGACATTGTTGGTATCGCTTCGAAATAGCCTCTTCGTCCTCTTGAAGAAGAGGTGTCGTCTGAGCTTGGAGCTGAGCCACCGAGTATCCGCACCATTGACAGAACCGAAACCAATCATCGTTCTCACAGTAGCACTTCGGGCATAAAACCCGTGCCCTTGACGCCGACACTTTTACGAGCGGGGGAGGAGAAAGCTTCGCCTCGTCGACATAACCTCGCTTGCGAATTATCGCCCCTAAGACGCTCACGACGAGGCCAAGAGCTGTGAACATAGTCTGGAGAGCCTGGCAAAATGCGTTGTCCCACAACCACCGAACATGAACAAGACATGTTGGGAAGGGAAGCCGAATAAGTATTACTTTAAATGTCGGGTGAAATCCACTACTACTGCTAGCATTCCCGACCGTTTGAAATGAAAACGCTCGCACCCTTTCTGGTGGTGTACCCGGAAAAAGGGTGACTCACCCCCGCTGCTAGTTGACAACGTTCGCGACCGCGCAGTCGCGTTTGCTATCCTCGGAAACCAGCACTGTTTCTGATCCGGGACGATCACAAGCGCCCTTGCTTGACACTCCTCCAAGTGTTGAAGAAACACGCCGACCATACTGGTTGGGGGAAAACAGAAGCCGAAACAATCCTCGGCCTTTGAACCAGGCATGAACCGAACATTGTGCGTGAGCACGTCAACCCCGGCACATCCCTGCGTATGATATCTAGAGTAAAATGGCAAGTCCTCGCTAGTGCAGCACCGAGCCACCCATCTCTTGTGAACCGAGGAAGGTGTGGCCATTAAATCCATGGTGACACGCTCTCCGGCCCACGCGCTCAGTTCGCCGAACATCTGTTCGGCTAATCTCACAAAATCGTCCGACCCTGGTCAAGAAATGCCGTCGGCCTCAGCGTTAGCCTCGGAGCTCACCCACTTCAACTATAGCGTGAAATCGCGTCGCACTTGCAACCAGAACAGATCTGTAATAATCTCATGCATGAAAGTGTTGGAGGCTCGCCCCCTCATAAAGGCGTCGTGTAAGACCTTGCTGTCTACGTTGGAAACGAGCGTGGACCCAGCCAGCTGAGAAGGCTGGCTATCTGAAAACAGGTGCAGAGTCTGCTGAAGAGCATACCCTTCCTGCACATTGATATGCTGCTGCGCGACCTGTGGCGGGAAATCTCCGCCAGCTTTGAAAATGGGTTGGCCTGGACTCCTATTGAGTCCCCCCCCACCCGCCGGAGGAAGCATCAGATGCTCCGGTAAGAGCTAATTGTTTATGTTCAGCACGACACCACTACGCCCCGTTAAAGCGGTTACGAACCTCTCGCCAGCGTGTCAGCTCGAACATAAGACCGCTGTTCGCCGGGATCTCTATCTCCATGCTGGGCTTGCGACCTCCGCGTCTCTGAAAAGCTACTATGCTGTTATACATATGGTGAGTGTGAAGAGCCGCCACCGGAACCGCCACCGAGAGACTAGTGCATTTGCCTGCGAGCTTCTCTGACATCTGAAAGGAGATGGACTCAGACGTAATAGCGTCGACGAGAATCGTCTCGAGCTTGGAGAGTTTGTCCTCTGGGACCTCGAAACGCTGCTGATCGGAATCACAGATAATCCCAAGGAAAACGAGGCGCGTCGTAGGGATGATCTCACACTTCTTGAGCGAAATGAAGTACCCCGCTCTGTAGAAAACTTCGAAAGCGAAATACGCGGTCGTCTGAGCCGCTTTCCGCTGCTCGTCATAGCTAAGTCTGCGAGTCGACCGAAAATTTGTCAGGTAGAAATCGTCGATTCATGTAAGCACGGGGATGTCTCGTGCTCTCAGTTACCGAGCTATTGCTTCGGAAAGGGAAGCGTATATGAACGGGGCTGAACACCACCCGAACGCTAGCACTGTAAACACGTATACCTCGCCTTCCCACTCGAAACCAAAATATTGCCAGGAACCCCAGGGCAACGTGGTGGTATCCAGCCTTATGATCAATAGTGACTTGATGAGCTCCTGCCCAAGCGCACTGAGCCACTTTGCCTACGCCATCCATGCTGAAAGTGCGATGATGGCACATTAGATTTAACCATCTCGTGTCCCATATCAACCGGGGCTTCTTGGGTTGCACACCCAACGGAAGCACCATCTGCGGTTTGGTGTGCACGCTAACGTCGGCGACATCTTTCCACTTTGCAACGCAGCCAGTCGCCGCGAGCTTGGCAATTTCACTCGTGACCCATGGTACATCTTCGTCGGGAACGTGGTTCGGCAGATGTACCGAGGTAAGGTCAGCGCCGTTGTACGATCGACCTTGAAAAATGCCTGTCGCCTTGTTTTCTACGAAGACGTGAACGTTGACTCCTTCCACCCACCCGATCCCCAACAGGGGTATCTTGCAAAATTTCGTTCCGCCAGAACTCGACCGAGGTCTGCAGGTGAGCTGGAACGAAATCGTCCGTCACCCACATCCGAGCTTGGTCGGGTAGGTAGTGAAATTGTTGAAGTTGTCCGATGTCAGAGAGGTCGACGGTTGACTGTTGCGCTGATGCGCTGAGCAGGTCCC